AGTTCCATGCTACAGGGGGACCCCTCTATCCGGACTGAAACGTGGACTTTGTTCCGGCCCTGATGGGGCAAGTCACCTACCTGGGGCTGGGGCTGGTGGTCGACGGCGTTGGTGTCGATCGAGTGAAGGTCCACAGTGTGGATGGGTTCCAACTGGTGGCTGGATTTCCTGGGCGGTTGGCGGCGGCCGCGGCAGACCTTGGCGATGTGGCCCTGCTTGTTGCAGGACCTGCAGACCGCATCGCGGAAACGGCAGCTCCGGCGTTCGTGCGCTTCTCCGCAGCTGGCGCAGGAAGAGGCTGGCTCCGCTGTCCTTGCCGGCGGGGTGCCCCTCGAATGGTGTGTGTGTGACGGCTTGCGTTGGAGTTGCGCCACAGCATCCTCCTCAGCGTCAGCCGATTCCCCTCCGGTCAGGGTGCGGTGTACCTGATGTCCCCTGTTCTCAGGATGTGCAAGTTCGAAAGCCGCTGCATCCTTTAAAGCCGTGGCTATCGTGAGGTCATCGTCCCGGATTAGGCGTCTTCTCAATTTGGCCTCTCGTAACCCCACTAAGAACTGGTTCAGCACGGTCTCGTCCAGGTTGAGAAAGGTACATTTCATGGCGGCCTCCCAAAGGTTGGCCAGGAAGTCTGCAGCTTTCTCCTCGGGGCCCTGAACCTTTGCAAAAAAGTCCATGCGGGCCGCGAATTTGGAGGGTTGTGGGGCTAGATGGGCCGTGAGGGCCGCAACGAGGGCCTTGAAGCTCTCCTCCTCTACCTCCTTGGGTGAGATCAGGTTCTGCAAAAGGAGCAGGGTGTCCATCCCGCAAAGGCGGATGAGCTGGGACCTCTTCATATCTGCGTCGGTGACCCGCATGCAGGCGAGGTAGTGCTTGAGGATCTTCACCCACGTGGTCCAGCGCTCGGGATGGGCCAAGTTAAACGGAGCAATGCCCTCGTGCGAGGTTCCTCGTGCTGCGGCGGCAGCATCGGCGGCGGTGGCGCCCCCGGAGGATGAGGAGGCCCGGGAGGCCGAGGAGGTGGAAGCAGAGGTGGCGTTTTGCTCGGACATGCCGCGGATGCGCTTGACTGCTCGGCTGGGCTGACGAGTCGGAACGAGGCAGGCGAGGCGAGGTAGCAAGGAGGGGAGAGGCGAGGCGCTGCTAGGTTGGGCGCAGTGTGGCACGGCGAGATGGCGTTGTGACGAGACGAGGCGAGGCGCGGAAAGCGCGGTGAGGCGAGACGCGGCGTGTGCGGCGAGGCGAGACGCAGCGTGTGCGGCGAGGCATGTGCGGCGAGGCGAGGCACAGCTGGGGCGATGGGGCGCGGGCTGGAGCTGACGGTCGCAGCGAGGCGAGGCGAGGTGCGATGGGTAGCCAAGGATTTAGCTGGAGCAGCGTGGCGAGAGGTAGCCGGTAGATGACGGAGCGAGGTGCAGTGCGATGGAGCGAAGATCCCGGCGAGCGGCGGGGCTGCGGCGTCGGTTGCGATCGGTGCTCGGTGCTGCTGCTTCTTCTCCGGGTCTGTTCAGGAAGGGTAGAATCCCACCTTCGTCGCCAGTGAAAAGTACTCGAAACGTTGAGTGATTCAGCAAGAGTGATTCAGCAAGAGTACTTTATTAGATCAGGAACAAGACAAAGGAAACCAGCTCGCAGGCCGGTTTATATGCGTTCAGAAAACCCGCCACCAAGTACACCTAAACACACCCCCTACTCCCGATAGGCTATTTACAGTAACCGGGCGACCATTGGTCGCCTGGCTGGAAACTAGCCCTTTTGATTGGGCCAGCTAGGATCCTTCGGATCCTTTGTCTTTCGACTGAAGTTACAGAGGAATTGTGCCTGGCCAGCCCGGGCAAGTCCGGGCATGTCAGGCTGCTGCATTACACGTGGAGATGGCAGCAGTACATTACACATATGGAGCAGAGGTCCATCAGTGGCTATTAGCCACAAGGTATAGATAGGTACTCACAGGCTGGGGCAGGTGATGCTATGTCTTCTTGGGGCTTATGGGGCTCAACAGTGGGAGGGTTTCTAGTGTCCTGGCCCCACTGGTGGACCTCCTGATGGCACCTGGTATTTCTGGCCACTGTGTGATACAGAGTGTTGGACTGGATGGGCCTTTGGCCTGATCCAACATTGGCGTCTCTTATGTTCTTATGTGCAGAAAGTCCCGTAAGTGTCCATATTGCTGCTCCAGAGGTACGATCCCACCATGTCCCCAGGGAATAAAGCCCTGTTGCTTTTGTGGGGGTGGGGGGGGTGGGTAGGGGAAGATAACAGAGGTTGCTTTTTCTTGAAAAAGGGGGAGGGACTGACAAGAAGGGCTCCTGGTGTTCCTGCTGCAGCCCCCCTTCAAGGCGACAGCCCTGCAGAGGGGTCGGGGTGTGTGTGTCTCGTCAGGGTCCCGGCAGGGCTCGGTTGGAGGATGCAGGGCCCAGCACCCCTGATGAAACTGAGTGGGGTGGGACCGGTGGATGCCTGGGGGAGGGAACGGCCTGGGGGTGGGGGTGTCAGAAGGTGGGCTCCCTGAGCTCGAAGAGGAAGGAAGGTGGGGCCCAAGAGGAATGTGGGGAAAGGGGGTGGAGGGGGGCTGGAACCACACAAAAAAGCCCCTCCTTCCACTGCTCTTTCTGTATGTGTCCCCCCCCCCCACACCTGCAAACTGACCCCAGAGGGAGGGCGCCTCCAGCCCAGGAATAGACCCAGCCCCCCTGGGAAAAATTTTTTTGGGGGGAGAGAGGTTTATAGGGGGAAAAAGTGTATGATGGGCAGAGTGAAGGGGGGGAGAAACCTAGTCCAACTGTGGTCCTAACATTAGGA